TTGAACCATGTTCAGCCATTGGGGATCTGGCTCCTCGTGTACAGGGGCTTCACTGCTGCTCTACAGAGACCAACCACCGTGTGGCTTCGTGTGAATCACATGGACTTCTTGGATCTCATTTCCTCATCTGTAAAATTAGGGGATTCAATGAAATGGTCACAGAGTTGTCTTTCAGCTGTAAGAACTTCAGGGTCCTTATGAGTGGAATTGATTACTTACCCTACCACACTCCAAGGAAACAGAACCCATTCAGGGCAAGTGAGGAGTAGGGAACGATCTGAAATGAGTGTTGTATGAGGTGAGGCCAATAAGAGAGAGAATGGAGGAGTCCAAGCTCTCTCACTCAATCTCACTACTTATGGCCTCAGTTCAAGTCAAAAGGGACAGAAAGGTGAGGGGTAGAAAGTGAAAGGAGATGGGACCAGGCCATCCTGGGTCTGGAGATGGAGGAGGAGAGCTTAGTCTTGGTATCACAGAGTGGAGATTATGTTCCAGGAGGCAGGAACTCTCCAGCCCCCAAACTGTCAAAGCCTATCTGCACCTTCCCTCCTAAGGATAAGAGAAGAGCTCTTGTTAAGACTTCCTTTTGGTGTGAGGGCATTAGAGCCCCACATGGGGCCTCAGCCGTAAACTGGGATGAGTAACCGCGTGTCTGTCTCATTGCCCTACATGGGAAGGGAAGAAGACCCAAGTCTGTCCTAGTGTTCCTTTGAACAAGTTAATTGCCCTCTCTGAGCTTTAGACTCCCACCTATTAAAAAATAGGCACTGGTGTATGTCACTGTTTTTTAAATCCACTGGGACTGAAACAAATTAAAAGCTTCAATAGTTTCCTCAAGCAGCTGTCACCTCGGCAAGAAACGCTTCATGATTTGTGAGGTCCCTGAGGCATCTCTGAAGACTCCTTCCACCATAGAGTTAAAAAAAATAAAATAAAATCACTAGACTAGGTGAACTTTGACCTCCCTCTCTGCTTTCTGACCTGTTCATTTTCTGGTTATGGTTACGTTTGCTTTCACATTTTCTATCTGCTGCATTTGACCCTGAATACAGATAATACCTAACTTAACAATTGTTGGGATAAGTTTTTGGCTTCACGATGGGGTGGGCTGTCATTTGTTTTGTTTCTTTAAAAACCTGACAATCAGTACCAGCACATGATATAATGGTGATGTTGCTGGACTCCCACTAGCCAACTGTGGTTCGAGTCCCAGTCCCAGTGGCTTAAAACTCATGCCGGGCACGTGTGTGTGTGTGTGTGTGTGTGTACACCCAAGATCCCAGGAGGAGAATGAAAGAGATTGTGGCGTGGTCATCCCCCTGGGGGTGATTTCTCGCTTTCTGTCTCACTGTCTGTCTGGTGAGCCCACACCCTATAACAAAAATCTCTCAAAACAAACAAACAAACAAACAGACAATGGCTTTGGCATAAAATGATAAGAACTGCATTCTGTTTTTCACTTTTAGTACAGTAGTCAATTTTTCCTTTTTTTTTTTTTGGAGAGGTTTTTGCTATAGGGCATGTGCACTCACCAAAAAGACAGAGAGAGACAAAAAGTGAGAAGTCACCCGACAGGGGGTTGACCACGCCACAATCCCTTCTCCTTCATTCTCCTCTCAGAATCTTGGGCACGCATGCATACGCACCCGAGTTTAAGCCTCCAGGTTCGGGACTCGAACCACTGTCGACTATGTGAGAGTCCAGCGACATAGCCATTATGCCAACTGCTGGTCCCA